AAAGCGCTTTGTGTGTAAGTTGTGCAGAAAGGGGTCTCTGGACCAGACGAGAGCAGCGACCCAACATCTATCCAGACTCTCAGTCCCTTTCCAGCAGAGAAAGGCAGAGCAGCTGGTTTCTGGAAATGCGGGTACAGGTCCTGTTTCTTCCTCCCCACCTTAACCCCACTTTGGAAACAAACGGCTGGCCTGATCTCAGTGGGGAAAGATCAAATGCTCAGAAACGCAGCCAGCGAATCCCGATCGTGGTTGGGTTCTCTTATACCCAAGCCCCTTCTGCTTACCCAGTCAAGAGCCAGGTGAGCGCCGCAAGAAACAGCGGGGGAAACAGGGGTGATGATGGGCCTCGGGGCGCGTTCTCAGGACCGCGTGTCACGGATTAGCCAACATTTACTGTAACCTCGCGCAACTGGCAATCAGAACATCTTCCGAGAGGAAACTTTGGGCTCCTCCACTGCAAGGCTGTATTCGTGTCTACAGAGGAGCAGGCCCCACTGAATTCAGTAGGACTTACTCTCAGGTCACGTGCTCGAAGGTGTGCAACCCAAGCCAGGCTGATAGATGAAGAAGGCATTCTAAGTTGCGTGTAGGAACTAGGTGTCAGAAGTAATTCTCGATTACTTCCTCTTTCTCCCTTGTCTCTTATCCCTTGTGTTGTATTTTTGTTTGTTTGTTTGTTTGTTAGAATGTAAACCTGCGAATAGGGAGTGTCTTGTTTTGATTGCGTGTAAGCGGCTCTGGGAGACTTTCGGCTGCACAGAGGGGTATAAATACTCAAAATAAAATGAAATAAAATAAAGGGGGGAAACGTACACGTCTATGGCCTCGCACCTCCAAGGTGGGGGTCTTTGCCACCCTCTTCTCCTAACCTGGAGATTCTTTCTGTGTCATCTGACAAGAAACACAGATACAAATAAGCCCAATTGTAGGGTACGCCCACTGTCTTTAGGGTCCATTCCCCCCCCCATCTCATCTGACATCAGCTAGGAAAGCGAGAGAAGAGGTTGATTATGGAAAGACCTTGCTGTAAGGAAGAAAAGCCACACACACACACACACACCATCTCCGGATTCTGTTGAGTAGAAAAGGTCTCTGGCGAAGAATTCTGTGTAAGTGGGAAGGCAGTCTAAAGTTACACCGAGGCAAATTGATCGAAGGGAACCGCGATGTCGTTGTTATAGCTGTCCCTTGTAGGCAAGTGGTTTGGGGAGAGGCGATGAAGGGACGGGACGGGGAGCTGTCCAGCACCGAAAATTCCTGACAAGCCTCAATATAGTCTTTGGCCTTCAGTTTGCAGTGTGCGTGGTGCGGGTGAGAAGAAGAAGAAGAAGAAGAAGAAGAAGAAGAAGAAGAAGAAGAAGAAGAAGAAGAAGAAGAAGAAGAAGAAGAAGAAGAAGAAGAAGAAGAAACATTTGTACAGCGCTTACTAAAAAGTTCCACATACATTATGTAGTAGTAGGTCTTTCCTTGGAAAACCCAATGGCAATGTTTAGGGTTGAACGTAGAAGATAGAGATATCCTATGATGCAAACCAAGACAAAAGCAAAAACTTCGTCTATAGTGAGGGAAAGAATACAACTTTAATGAATGAACCTAAGGACATGCTCCTTATCTTGCAAATACTCCCCAGAGCCCGCTTCCGCGTTGTGTGTTCACACACACACACACACAAACTTAGCAGGTTTTCCAACGCTTTCTCTGTTCTTTTTTTGCAGTCTATGTGCCACGACTAAATTTTCTGCATCCTCTGAACACTGGTTCCCCTCCCCTCTTTTTTTTTTTTTAAGATCCATAAAGGCTTTACACCCAACGTTTCCCAACTCAGGATCAAGAGTCATGTCCCAAAAGTGATTCAAATCCACAAGGTCTACTGGAAAAGCTTTTGATCTGCGGGGAAGACAGTCTAAGGCGGCCATCCTCTGCACACTTAACTGGGAGCAAGTCCCATAAGTGAACTGAATGGGGCTTGCTCCTGGTCCCATAACTGAACTGAATGGGGCTTGCTCCTGCCTAGATATGCACAGGTTGGCACTGTAAGTGTGTGGGGATTCTTTTGAAAAGAGTACATGCCCGGGAAGGCAGCAGTTGTGTGTCTAAAGCACTTCCACCACAATTAATACTTTACCTCTGTCTTCCCCCTTAACACTTCTGTCTTCACCCTTAAGACGCCTGTCTTCACCCTTAACATCCCGCAAGGCGAACAATTTGACTGAGCCATTCTGTCTCAGTGGTGTGCCCCGCAAGCTCTCTGGTTTTCTAGATCTCTCCAAGGACCCTCGCCAAGCGGTCAGGAAACCCCCAACATTAATCTTGGTGAATGGATCCCTTACAACTCAGCCTGTTCCAAACTATCGACTGAGGCATAATTTGTGCACCGAGGCTCCGAAGACGAGGCATCTCGAGCCAGTACCAAGCAGACGTCTCTAATAAGAGAACAATAATTAGCCATCATATAGGAGAATCAGCAAGATAAATAATGCCAGCCCTCCATGCACAGCAGATCAGAATGTTTGAGTTCCCAGGACATATTTCACCGAGATAAATTTGAATCCAGGAACCCCACGGGACACATTCAAGGATGGAGACAGAAATTAATGAGCGCTATAGCCTCTCTGGCTGCGGGAGAAAACAGGGGGAAGGCGCATGATGGAAAATGTGGGTTTTCGTGGCGGGCGGGTGTGTGTGTACACAAATCTCGGCGCCAGGAACATGCGGCTCGCCCACTGCTCCTGGAGGAGGACTCGAGGCGGGGGACGCAGATTCCTTGCTGAAGACCCGCCGCCGACGCCTCCTTCTCCAATTATTTTACATATCTATCTTGTGTTATTACTCAGAGGCAAGGCTGGTTTTACAGCCTGCGGTGGAATTCTGCTGAGATAGTGGGGGTGTCGCAGCTTTTCTTTCTTGGGGTGCTTGGCGGAGGCCCAATTCAAACGTCTGATCAAGCCACCAAGAAGAACAATTCGTAACAGCCTGCCTTCCTGTCACTCCGGAAAGTCGCCGCCACTGTTTTAAGGTCCTTTGCTTAGAATATATAGCGTGGGAGGTGGAGGATCGTAAGCGATGGAGACAGGTTCAGATCCGTTTGCAGACTTGGCTTACCAAGACCGCCTTCCCGCCCGCTCAGCCTCAGTTTTTCTTCCACGGGAATGGGGATAATATAGGGGCTGGCCTCGCAGTTGTAAGGTTGCATGAAGCAAAAATGGCCTTCACTCTATATGCCTTAGGGACAGTACTCTACATGAATAAATCACGTGTCAACAGTAGTGGAAGCGAAACTGGGGAATTGGGGTGGGTGAGTTGACAACGACAAGAGAAATTCTAAACACACGTACACACCCCATTCATTCCAGTTGAATTTGCTTCCAAGTAAGCGTGCTCCTGCTAGATCCCGAGGAACAGACCTCCCTCTCCCTCTCTCTAGTCCTGTTCTCCATTAACCCCTTCCTTCCTTCCTTCCTTCCTTCCTTCCTTCCTTCCCGTTCCCTGGAGTAAGCAAACTCCCTTTGTAAACGTGCAGGAGAGCGCGTCTTTTTCGAATCAGTCGGTCTGGACTCCCGGGTTCAATTGAGCCGTCTGCACTGTCAAGACCCGTGTCTTTCCCCCGCACCAAGCAAGCACCATCCGAGGGGCGGGAGTGGACGCTCAGCACCCAGGTGATGCCACGTGGGTCTGAATGCACATGGAGATCAGTGAGGTTGAGGTCCTTCAGATACACAGACACACAAGCGAGGGTGTGTGTGAAACCTTCTAGGAGACTCGTTCCAAACAGGAATCTATTGATTTCCTAAAGCAGCCTGCATTTGGGCTGAGTGACTCGGTGACTAGCAAATGACATTATTACAGGTGAGAAGGAGTCTCTTCGAAGAGGCATGCCCTCCCGAAAGATGTCGCCGCCCGAAGCACAAAGAGACAAATAGCATCTACAGAAATGCTGCAAAGTCTCCTTTTTTAAAGGAACCCTTTTAAAGAAATCAGCAGCAGCAGCAAAAAATAATAATTCCCAATGCGCAACGACAACTAAACATAGACCCCTGAACTGATTTAGCTAACCCGATCCTGTCGGCTTGTTGATGTGGGAGAAGGAAAACCCTACCGACTTCTTTGTGAAGTGTGGGTTGTATACATTCCTACATGAAGTCCCCCTGACCCCATCGGAGAATGAGGGCTCTCCGTCTTACAGTCCCAGCCCAGCTAAACACGTTCGCCGGGAGGCAGACCCCACTGATTTCAACGGAACTTACTTCCAGAATTGCTTGTTTTAGGAAGGGAGGTGGTGGGGACGACGACGGGACAATCGTTTTGTGGGAGGCGATGGAGCCAGTTCGGCTTACCCTTCAAGCGCTTCCTTCCGGGGGGGAGTTGTGGATCGGCTAGGCAGGACGGGCCCAGGGAATAGGACCACCAGGACGACTCGCCTCCAGCAAAAGAGAACTTAAAGAACGCAACCATGCTTTGACCACATTCACACAACCTATTGCTACAACGACACAGTTAATGGCTGGTTTGGCCAACAGCGACCAGGAAACGGACAAATCGCAAACCGAAAACAAAAAAAGCGCAGTTCTGCGAGAAGCCCGCCGCTGCTTTTAAACCAGGAGAGCGAGAAAAGGTATCCAAACGCGCTAACCCAGCTCTCAGCCGCTGCTTTGCATCTCTTCTGGCGCTAGAAAAAGACATGCTTCGTCCTAATGGAGTCTATGGGCGGGCGGGCGCGCACACACACACAACCGGGCGCGCGCGGCGCCTAGACCCCCCCCTCCCCCGCACACATCAGCACATCTGTCCGTGTGCCAGCGGCACACGTGTCGGAGCTCCAGGTGTAACAGCAGCTGCCTTGGCCTTTGTCACCGGAGCGGCAGACTCCGGCTCTCTGGTTAGACGTGAGCAGGAAGATGCGACTGCGGGGGCGGGGGGAAGAGGTGGAGGAGAGAAGGAGGGAGGGAGGGAGGGAGGGGGGAGCGTGCAGAGGAAGGAGGAGGAGAGAGAGAGAGCGGGCCAGTCTATCAAAACTGGCGTCGCCAGTTCTCGCGAGAGGGAGAGCCGGTCGGGGAGCCACGGGATGTGGGGCTCAGGTGTAAGGCGAGCGCATCTCCTGCCAGCCTTGGGATAGAGCAGGCAGATAAGTCAGACGGCGAGGCTTGCAGGGAGGCTTGGCGTGCGCGCTCCCGGGGAGCTCCAAGCGCCAGCAGCCTCGGATGCGCCGCCGCCGCCGCCTCGTTGAGCTCCGGCGCTAGGAGAGCTCTTTTCTCCCCGCACGCTTGCGGCGCCTTGGGTGGATTTCGGGGTTCTTGTTTTTCCTTTCTCTCTCTCTTTTTTTCTTCTTCCTCCCTCTTTTCGTTTTTGGTTGTTGTTCCACCGCAAGCCTTCAAGATGATGTCCATGAACAGCAAGCAGCCGCACTTCGCCATGCACCCCACCCTCCCCGAGCACAAGTACCCGTCGCTGCACTCCAGCTCCGAAGCAATAAGGAGAGCGTGTCTTCCAACTCCACCGGTAAGGGACCCGCCGCCAGCCGGGCTTCCCCGCTCGCCCTCCCGGCGCCTTGACTCCCGCTTCCCCCCTCCCGCTCCGTCCCTCTCTCTCTTGCATGGATCCAGCCGCGTCCCCTCCCTCTCTCCCCTTCTCTGCAGATCCAGGGTTAAGAACGGGGGTTCGCGCGGCTTCCCTCCAGCTCTGCACCACTTTGGCTCCCGGGTCCTAGCTGGAACTCGATCTCCCCGCTCCCCACGAAAGGAATGTGCTTGTGTGTGTGTGTATGTGTGTGAGAGAGAGACCCGGCGGCCACAGCCGACAGCGGCTGATCTCCCTTCCGTCCCTTCTCCCTCGCTCGGACACTTTCTCTCACTCCCGCATCCGCCGCCCCTGGCACGGCCTCGGATTCCCCCACTCGCCACCCGTCTCCTCGGACAATTGCATTTAAAGATTAAAAAAAACTTATCGGCGTTCCTGTTGCTTAACCTCTCTTCCCCCCCCCGCCCCGCCGCCAATTCCCTTCTTCTGATCTTCCCATTCATCTCCCCCCTCCCCACCGCGCCTCCCCCTCATTGCTGTCCCAACATGACCACCCTTCTCTCTCCGCTGCCCCCAATTACATTCCTATGCTCTCCTGTTTCTGCCTTCTGTGCGCCGCCTCTTTCCCCTCTCCTCGCCTTCCTCTTCCGTTCCTCCTTCCCCTCCTTTCTCTCCGACCTGCTCACCCCTCTCCAATACATTTACGAACAACTTTTCCTTTTATCCCATTCCTCCTTTCTTCTGCACCGTTCCATTTTTTTAAATTTCCTCCTTCCTTTATTCCAACCTGACCCTTGCTTCTCGGCCCCCTTTCCCCTTCTTCTTCTCCTCTCTGTTTTGGCGCTAATTTTTTCTCTCTCTTTCTCCCCATGGCTTTCCCCCTCCGTCCCTTCCCTTCTCCCCCTCGCTCCCCTTCCCCTTCCCGGCCCCGTTGCCCCGTTTCTTCCCCTGTCGCTTGCAGCTGCAGAGCAACATCTTCGCCAGCCTGGACGAGACGCTGCTGGCGAGGGCCGAGGCTTTGGCGGCGGTCGACATCGCCGTGTCGCAGGGCAAGAGCCACCCGTTCAAACCCGACGCCACCTACCACACCATGAACAGCGTGCCGTGCACCTCCACGTCGACGGTGCCCTTGGGTCACCACCATCACCACCACCACCATCACCACCACCAAGCGCTGGAGCCCGGGGACCTGCTGGAGCACATCACTTCCCCCTCGCTGGCGCTCATGACCGGCGGCGGGGGACACGACGGGGCGGGCGGCGGCGGAGGTGGAGGCGGCGGCGGAGGAGGAGGCGGCGGGGGCGGCGGCGGAGGTGGGGGCCTCATCTCCACCTCGGCGCATCCGCACGCGCACATGCACGGCCTGGGCCACTTGGCGCACCCGGCGGCCGCCATGAACATGCCGTCGGGGCTGCCGCACCCGGGGCTGGTGGCGGCGCACCACGGCGGCAGCGCGGCCGGCCAGGCGGCTGCAGCTGCGGCTGCGGCGGTGGGCGCCGCTGGCCTGGCGTCCATCTGCGACTCGGACACGGACCCTCGCGAGCTGGAGGCCTTCGCCGAGCGCTTCAAGCAGCGGCGCATCAAGCTGGGCGTCACGCAAGCCGACGTGGGCTCTGCGCTCGCGAACCTGAAGATCCCCGGCGTGGGCTCTCTGAGCCAAAGCACCATCTGCCGCTTCGAGTCGCTTACGCTGTCTCACAACAACATGATCGCGCTCAAGCCCATCCTGCAGGCCTGGCTGGAGGAGGCCGAGGGCGCGCAGCGCGAGAAAATGAACAAGCCCGAGCTTTTCAACGGGGGCGAGAAGAAGCGCAAGCGGACTTCCATCGCGGCGCCCGAGAAGCGCTCCCTCGAGGCTTACTTCGCCGTGCAGCCGCGGCCTTCGTCCGAGAAGATCGCGGCCATCGCCGAGAAACTGGACCTCAAAAAGAACGTGGTGAGGGTTTGGTTTTGCAACCAGAGACAGAAGCAAAAGAGAATGAAATTCTCCGCCACCTACTGAAAAAAAATAATTTAAAAAATAAACAAAACACAGACGGACAAAAAGACACACAGACAGACACAGACACACACGCAGAGAGAGAAAGACAGACAAAAATAATAACTGGCCGCCTCTCCGATCCCACCCAAGCAAAAAAAATTAAAAAATCAACCTTTGACCTAAGACAAAAGGGCCTCGCAGTCAAAATTCCCCCAGAGAATGGAGAGGGAGAGAGGGAGGAGGCGCGCTTTTTTGGGGGGGGTTCGTTTGTTTTGTAGAAGGGGCGCAAAAGGCAAGGGAGCGTGGAGAGGGGCTGAGTTGGGGGACCCCACGGACTTCTCGTTTGGACTAGAGACTCTTGGGAGCGGGCGACCGCTTGGGGACTGACCGAGGACCAATGGAGGGGGGGAGGGGGGGCACAACTCAAACGAAAAGCGAGTCGCTTCAGAGAAACGAAGCATTCCGAAAATAAGCTCAAACACGTGTGTGCGTCTAAAAGGCCGGGGCGTGGGGGGGGGCGTGGGGAGAGAGAGGGGGGGGGAGATAGTGAGTTCACTTTTTGAGTGTGATCCCTTTGGAAAGAGAAGGCGAATTGCAGCCTAAGCACATAGATGTTTTGCAGACGGACGGGCGCGCCTGCGCGCGCAAGAGCCCATCCAGAAGGATTTGTACAAAATCGCTGCTTGGAAGCAGGAGGGCAGAGAGCGCAGAAACCTAAGCTGGGGGGTTGTGGGGGGGTGAAGATGTGCTGCTCATGGCGTGTTTTGTTTTCGTCCTGCATTTTTCCCTTTTCGTTGCCCCCTCCCCCCGCGTCATTGTCCCTCCTTCCCACAAATGGTTTATTTCATTGAAGCTATTTTTCCTTTTAAAGTTGACCGATGTGGATCGCTCCATGTTCTTGGGATTGCGGGCGACTTGGGGGGGGGGCGTGGAGGCCTGCGGTTAGGCGAGGAGGAGACGTGGTTAGCAAGGAGAGTCCTACTGGATTATTGGTGATGTTTGTCGTGAGGAATTTTGCCCAAAGAGCGTCTCTGTTTCAGACGCTACAAACTCCCTTCCCTACCCTGCGAAAGTTTGGGGGGGAATCATTAAGCTGTTTTATTTCGTTGTATTTTGTTGGAAACAAGCAGCGTACAAATCAAAAGTCGTGGCCCGTTCGCTTTTATTTATTCCCCCTTCCCTTTCAGGCGCCCGGGTAGCTATGTAGCACAAAACAAACAAAACTGTGTTCCCCACGACCTTTCTGGTACCTGGTGTTGGGAAGCGGGTTCGTTTGAAAGGACGTTTTAGCATCACCTTAACCCCCCGGTCAATTTAGCTTCCTGCAGGTACGGAAAGTCCTGCTTTGGGTTTGTTGGTTTTTCCTGCAAACCTCTGCGCCCTTCCTTGCCACATTTGCAAGTCCAGTGAGATTTACTTCCGAGTTAAGGGTGCAGAGGTTTCCACTGGAAGAGGTTTTTCTTTTTTAACCCAGGAAGAGAACCGAACTCCAATTGTGGAAACTCGCCACCGCAAAGAGTCCGGATGGGTGTTTCGATTTTAAGAGGTGAAGGAAAGCGCGCGTGGGGCGTTTGCGTATTTGGTTTCCTCTCGGTAATAAAAGCTAGATAGACAAAATGTTGGGGACCAAGGAATTTTGCACTGATACAATTTCCCACGTAGGGCCAGGAGAGTTCTAGTTTCTGAAGGATCGTGACTTCTTGCCTCTTCTTCTTTTCTCCTTTTTTTTTTTTTTTTTTTTTGGACAACAACCATCCGTAACCGGAGGGCTGTTAACTTCTGTGAAATAGTAGCCGGGTATACAGTGAAGGAAAGGCGCGGGAGGGAGGGAGACAAGAGAAAGAAAGATGGAGCGGCGAGTTCTGAATCTTTTACAGGAAATGCTTTAATCTCCAAAAGAATTTATTTAACGTGAAAAAGAGGTGGTTTTTTTCGAGGGGAAAAAATATAATACCTATAAAAAGAAATTTGGGGTTCAGGGTTGGGTGGGAGGGAGGGAGGGAGGGGACTGAGATTATGCATGTCATGTCCTGAGAAGGCGCAGAAAGATTCCATGATCAGGTCTTCGGGGGGGGGGTTGCTTGTTCGTTTGTTTGTTTATTTATTTAATTATTTATGCGAGTATTTATGGTTTAATAATTTATATAACGCGTGTCGAAGGCATTATTTTTTTCCTTTTACCCTTCTTTCTTTCTCTTCGTATCATTGTTTGCAGAGCAAACGTCCTATGCATTCGAAAATGAGCACTAAAAAAAAAAAAGAGAGAGAAAACTTAGAGCAGTAGTTTCCAGCGATTTATTTCCTTTCCCGCCCGCCCCCTCCTTTTTATTTTGTGAATGATGGATGTGATTTTCGCACAGTGGACTGCCTGTTTTTTTCACCGAACACACACACACACACACAGGGAGATACACACACAAAAACACACACACACAAACACACACCCCAACACACCGAGTCCTTGTCACGTTACTTGTATTTAGATCTTAACGCAAAAGCAAGCAAACAAACAGCAGCAACAACAAAAAATAAATGAGGAAGATGTTTGTAAATATTTTCTTTAATACACAGGGGGAGGGGGGGCAAAATGGCTACGAATTTCAACCACGTGTCACTGAATTATCTACCTGTCCATGTATGTTTGCTGACCATTCTCCTTGGTTGGATCTTCATGATGTTTTCTTAAGGGAAAAAAATTATATATATATATATATTCTTTTAATTTCCATCAGAAATATTTCTGTACGCCAAACTCTTCCACAGGGAGATCTGTCCCAGCACACCTACAAATAAAACAAACCTGGGAAAAAACAACAGAAAAGTATTATTATTAATAATTATTACTTATTTTTCTTATGAGGTTTCTCCCCCTCCCTTTTTTTCCTTTTCTTTTCCTGAAACACGGCTGCTAAAAAAAATAAATAAACTAAACTAAACTAAAATCAAGGCATCAAGCCTTTAGACAAAAACCAAGACAGAAAAGAGTCTACCAAAAATTTTTAACAAATCGAGAGTTGTATTTTTCTGCTAAATTCAGAAATCCTTACTATAAGATAGGTCTTATGTGGAAATGGATACTCTGAATAAAATGAACTATATATTAGCTGCGTGTGTTTCTTGACCTTTGTTCGGTATAAGTGCAGAAAATTGAAGACCAAGTTTGAACGGAGCACGGGGGTGGGACGGGACTTCAAAAGTTATTTTTTGAAACAGTTTGCTCCTCTGAAAAATATCTGTGAGCGAACCTAGCCAGAGTAGCTTCCGGTTTATATGTGCACATATATGTGTACTTAATGATGTAGGAAAAATAATGTTTATTTTCTATTTTCGGTTAATAAATACCATACACGGATCTCTTCCATGTATTCTGAGTAGAGTTGACCGTTGGCCACCGACTTCTTCCAAGTCACCAAACTGACCCCGATCCAGCTAAAGTCCTTCGTGACGACAGCCCGATCCTAAGGCATCTTGACTCGGAAGTAAGCCCCATTTAGTTCGCTGGAACTTACTCGCAGGTCAGTAAACGCAGGGCTGCCGTCTAAGGCTGAGCGGCGTTGAAGTCAATGGCATTTACTTCTGAGAAAACTTTCTGTAGTTTCGTGCTGCATGTCACGAATAATTTCAGCTGGTTGAAGTTAACTAAACTACAATATGCTTGTAGTTAACTAAATCCTGCTCACGGTAGACCCATCGAAATTGAATGTAGTCATGCTCATTAATTCCGTTGGGTCTTCTCTGAGTAGGGCACAACCCCGCTATTCAGTGAGTATGGTATTTGACTGTATGTGTGCCAGACTACAGGGAGGGGGGAATTTATTTAAAGCTGAGATCTTGCCCTGCCCGTGATTATTTCTCTTTTAACCAAACCCGTGTCTTTTGGGCCGTAAACCTGTGAATCCAGACGCGTGGCTGGTAAACATACGACAACTTCCAAAAGCTGTGATTTCTTTTTCTTTTTTCAGCAACTCTTGGAGAAGGTGGGAAAGGGTACAAAAGGGTAAATAAAGGTTTGGGTTCCCTCCCACACACAAAAAAAGTAGAATTCTTCCACCGAGAACAGATTTGTTTCTTTTGTTATGAACTCGAAATGTCATCTGATTTTTTAAAATGCATTTGTAAAAAAAAAACAAAAAAAAAAACAAAAAAACAAAAAATATTTTATACGTGAGTTCTATCGGATATCATTTTTGGAGAATCAGGAATGACCAAATAAAATTAATATCAAGTCGTGTTTTATTTTTTATTATCTACCCTCGAAGAGAAATGTTGCGGTCCAGCACATCGGGCCTTTCAAAATACCAGAAAAATGGTACGTGTTGCTTGAAAGAGACCAACTTAAGGTCAATATATAGCTTTTCTTTTCCTTTTTTCTTTTTAAAAAAGGAATGTTGAACACAACACCTTTCGATTGCGAATGATGATAATAGCAATAGAAATAATAACCACAGCAAACACTTGTACTTTGCAAAGTTTTCAGCTTTAATATCGATGGGAAACTGAACAATGAATCGTTTTATGTGTGACAGTTTAAAACATTTAATAACAGTACAGTTGGACTATGGGATTTTAATATGTAAGCAAAGAGCCTTCCAGAGGCAGGAGGTGGCGATGCGGGTTGATCCATTCATTGGGCAACTTCTAGCTAAATATAAACAGATTACAGATCAATCATGGTTACTGGAAAGTCAGCCCCAGTGTCTTCAATTGGGCTTACTCATAAGTATGTTTCCTACTGCCGCCTTATAGCTCCCTTTATTTCCCTTAAACCACGTGCTCGGATTTTATCCCATTGACACCAACCGGACTTCCAAGTACATCGCTTGGAACGGGTTGTGTTCTGCATATTTCTTTTAACGGACCCTGGGATTAAAAACAAAGCATGTTCTGAGCCCAAAGTGAGTTGTTTTCACTGGAAGTTACATCCGAAAAACGCCTCCTAAGATTTTCCGGTAGTATTTTTAAGGCTGCCGTCCTATGCACACTTCCTTAGGAGTAAGCCGGATTGAACGCAGCAGGGCTTGCTTCTGAGGAGATAAGGTTAGGACGGCGCTGTAAGTCCCATTTCACTTAATGAAACTTGCTTCCCGAGAAAACACGCACAGGATCGCGCCCTA